TGGTTTCCAATCATTACTGCACCTGCTGCCTACATTTTTGCTGCACCCACATCCTAGTCATTAGTGTATCTGCAGCCAAAGTCTCTGCAACACCCATCCTAGTCTCTGTTGTACCCCAGGCTGATTTTCACTGCATCTTATCCTGTTGTCCTCTGCACCTGCAGCATAAGTTTCTGCTGCTAAAGCCAATCTTCCTCTTCATTCCAGCCTGATGCCCACATTCAAGTCATTGCTGTACCTGCAACCTAAGTTTCTGCTGTACCCCAGCCAAGTCTCCGTTGTACTCCAGGCTGATTTTCACTGCATCTTATCCTGTTGTCCTCTGCACCTGCAGCCTAAGTTTCTGCTGCTAAAGCCAATCTTCCTCTTCATTCGAGCCTGATGCCCACATTCAAGTCATTGCTGTACCTGCAACCTAAGTTTCTGCTGTACCCCAGCCAAGTCATCCTTGCACATGAAGCCCAGTCACCACTGATCCTACAGCCTAGTCACCACTCTTCCCACAGCCCAGTCACCACTGCACCTTCAGCCTAACGTCTCTGCAGCACCTGCAGCCTCATTCACATCTTTATTGCATCTTCACTGCATCTGCAGCCTCTATCCTCTATCGTTCCCCATCTTCCCAACAGCCTCCCAGCACTGACAGTTCCAGCTGAGCTATTTTTGTATCCGCAGTCTTCACTGTATCTTCAGTCTGTTTCTCTCTGCAGCACCATCTCTGCACCTGCAGCTTCTAGCCTCTTTCCACCTTCCAACTACCCAGCACCTTGTGCCTTTTTCATGCTCTGGTTCCTCATTACCCAGTACCTTCCCTCCTCCAAGTCTGTAAGTATCTGTTGAGTGACCCGAGAGTAACATTCAGCTAAGCCCCTACCCCTGTAAGCAGGACCATGGGAGAAAAACTACTACTTCTTAGATTCTACTCGTACAGAAAGCAGTCACACAGAGAAACTAATATCTAGTTGTCACACTCTTGCATTTTTCCTAATATACTGTGGAATAAATGTAGAATACAGCTAAGGATGAGACAAACTGCCTGCTGGCTTCTTTTTTAAGAAGAAAAAAATAAGACACACAGACCCTCCAAAGGAGTGTGCTATTTAGTGTACATAAAGTTCCCACCAAAATGCATACCAGACCAGTTGTAGGCATCTGTGGTAGGGGGGCTTATCAGAATCTGGATGTCCCCTTTTAAAAATAAGGGGGTCCCAGATAACACCCTCCTCCATGAATCAGTAAGGGGTTCATGGTACCTTCCCAGTAGTGGTACATAGCCCTGCTCATTCACAAAAAGAAAAATGTAACCCAGCAATAACAGCAACCAAACATTTGACAAGTACGAACAAAAAAAAGTCTCCTATTGCAAATCCATTGTCAGTGGTGATGCCCACCACCTGCTGACTCATCATAAGCACACGACTGATCCTGACGCCACTCCTTGCCACTAAACTAAAGACTAAACACACTAAAGAAATTAAATTTGGGCATGTTAGCCATACAACCTATTACGTACTAGTTCTTATTATTTCTCATGTTTTACTTTTGTGAAAAAAATTTAAACTTGAATTACTGTTTTGGGCAACGATCCTGAACATGTTACTTTTATTGTATATAAATCTGCATCTGGATCTTCCATTTGGGTCACTGGGGAAGAATTTATCCTGAATTCCACTGGACCAGAATTTAACTTCCAATATTTTCAGTTATTTTAAACTCAAATGTTTGGACTAAAGAATCCCAGTTTTGTTAAAGTTGAACACTGAGCAAACGTTCCCTATATCCAGACTATAAGAATTAGCAAGACTTACTTTCCAAAAACAGTCCACTTTTTATTTACCTAAAATTACAATCACATTATGGTTAGCATGCAATGGTGCTTTGAATCTTACTAATCCATGAGAGGACTTCCCTGCTTACTACATCTATATCACATACTTTGTATGTACAGTATGTACAGTAGGTGCCTTACTGCAGAAACATTATTTATACAAACAATTTTTAAGAATTAAAATACTAAATCTAAAATAAAATACACAACATAATAAACATGTGCAAGTCTAAATTCAATTTCCATGATGCCATAATAGGTGAACTTCTGGTATGCACACTGAGTGGAGCTTGTGGAGATTTCCTATGTCACAGTGAGAGAAAACAGCATACCATTGACACATGCATGTGAGCACTTGTACAATATTTCCATCAAATTCTCATGCCACCAATAGGACACAAAAGATTAGGAAACATAAAGGAAGGTTAAAGGCAAATAAATAGTTCTTTTCAGAGAGAAAGGTGGCAGTACAGCAGATGCCTCCTGGGTGGAGGTCCTATATGTAAGAAGGCACTGGAACTATATGACAGCCAGGAAACTGTAGTAGGTCAGCAGTGCTAGTCTCCATATATACTTGTGCCCATTTTCTTTTTATTTGTAAAAGGTCGTATGCCACATAAATGGGAGGACATTTGATTGCTAAAGCCATGTTCATTATAATATGGGCAGCGCAGTGGCTAAATGGTTAGCACTTCCGCCTGGCAGTACTAGGGTCGTTGGTTCAAATCTCAACTACGGCACCTCCTGCCTGGAGTTTGCATGTTCTCCCTGTGCCTGCGTTGGTTTCCTCCAGGTACTCCGGTTTCCTCCCAAACTCCAAAGACATGCTGGTAGGTGAATTGGATCCTGTCTAAATTGGCCCTTGTATGTGTATGTATGAATGTAAGTTAGGGAACTTAGATTGTACGCCCCTTGAGGGTTAGGGATTGATGTGAATGCACAATACATATGTAAAAATACTGCGAAAATTGACGGCGCTATATAAGTACCTATAATAAATAATATAAAGAAACTGACATTTTTTTTAATAACATTTAATTCATAAAGCTTTCAATCATGGAAGGTATAGTACAGCTTTTATGAATGGAGAAGGGAGCAGAAAGGGTGAGTATAGTCAGCACTCTTGATGAGTGCCTATCAGGTCTAACACTGGTATTAACTCCCATGGCACTGGAAGATTAAGGCACGATTTCCAGTGTGACTTTGGAATTCAACTTTGATGCAACTTTGAGTGCAACTTTGATCCAACTTTACACTCTCTGGCACTGAGTTGCATCAAAGTTACACCAATGTAGTGCAGGAAACTTTTAACCACATGCCGCCCAGCCACTGTAGAAATATGGTGGAAGGGCGGCACGGGCAGGCAAAACCACGTTTTAAAAGGTGTGTCTTGTAAACAGGTAGGGGGCGCGCGCGAGGCGCGGCGCCGCCCTACCTGTCCCGCCGATCACAGCCACGGATGTCAGTCGCCGGGTCACAGCCTATCGTTACCGGCTATGTCCCGGCGATCGGCGGCAATAGCTGACAGAGAGCACAGCTGCAGTAGCTGTGCTTTCTGTCAGTTCCCTGACAGTTCCAGGACAAGCTGATCGGGACAGAAGAGTTTCTCCCTCCCGATCAGCGGTGTTCCCTGCAGTACACACCCCCGCCCCCTAGTAAAACACTCTCCCTCACACAGATAACCCTTCCCTGAAAAATAAATTTAACCCCTTCCTCCCCAGTGCCATTAGTACAGTGTCAGTGTTTTTTTTTTTTTGCACTGATCACTGTATTGGTGTCACTGGGGATATCAGTGACCCCAAGTCAGTACCCCCCAATGTCAGAATGTCCGCTGCAGTCCCGTAGTCCCGCCATAAGTCGCTGATCGCCGCCGTAAGTCCCTGATCGTCGCCATAAGTCGCTGATCGCTGCCATTATTAGTATAAAAAAAAACTAAAAATCCCAGTATCTTTCCCGCCATTTGTAAACGCTATAACTTTCACGTAAATCAATTATTTACACGTATTGGGTTTTTTTTTTAGCAAAGATATGTCGCAGAATGCATTTTGGCAGAAATTTATGACTAAATTTGATTTTTACATTTTTTTTTTACTGGACATGTTTTATAGCAAAAAGTCCAAAATATTGTTTTTTTTTCCTCAAAATTGTCAGCCTTTTTTTTTTTATAGCGCAAAAAATACCACCGGAAAAAAGCTCAATTTGTGAGAAAAAAAAGGATGTAAATTTCATTTATGTACTGTATTGCATGACCGCGCAATTGTCCATTAAACTAACGCAGCGCTGTATAGCAAAAAAATGGCGTAAATTGCAGTATTTATACCATAGTTTGTAGACGCTATAACTTTCACACAAAGCAATCAATATACACTTATTGGGATTTTTTTTACCAAAAACATGTAGCAGAATACATTTTGGCCTAAATTTATAACTAACTTTGAGTTTACTATATATTTTTTATAGCTGAAAGTAAAAAATATTGTTTTTCTTCAAAATTTTTGGCCTTTTTTTGTTTATAGCGTGAAAAATAAAAAGCGCACAGGTGATCAAATACCACCAAAAGAAAGCTCTATTTGTGTGAAAAAAAGGACGTAAATTTCGTTTGGGTGCAGCGTTGCATGACAGCGCAATTATCAGTTGAATTAGTGCAGCGCCGAGTAGCAAAAAGAGGCCTGGTCATTAACCACTTGCCTACCAGGCACTTATACCTCCTTATTTACCAGGCCAATTTTCAGCTTTCAGCGCTGCTGCACTTTGATTGACAATTGCGCGGTCATGCAACATTGTACCCATATGAAATTTTGATAATTTTTTTCTCACAAATAGAGCTTTCTTTTGGTGGTATTTAATCGCCACTGGGCGCTTTACTTTTTGAGCTATAAATAAAAAATTGCCAAAAATTTGAAAAAAAAAAAAAAAAAGTTTCTTTGTTTCTATTATAAAATTTTTCAAACAGGTAATTTATCTCCTTCACTGATGTGCGTTGATGAGGCAGCACTGATGGACACTGATAGGTGGCACTGATAGGCAGCACTAAAGGGCACTGATAGGCAGTACTAATGAGGTGGCACGGATAGGCGGCACTGATAGACAGCACTAATGAGGTGTCACGGATAGGCGGCACTAATATGCAGCACTGATAGGCGGCACTGATAGGTGACACTGATGATGGGTACTGATAGACGGCACTAACTGGCATCACTGCTGGGCACTGACTGGCGGCACTGACTGGCACAACCACTGGGCACTGACTGGTGGCACTGACTGGCAGCACTGCTGGGCTGCACTGGTGGGTGGCACTGGTGGGCAGCACTGGTGGGTGGGCACAGGTGGGTGGCACTGGTGGGCACAGGTGGGTGGGCACAGGTGGGTGGCACTGCTGGGCACAGGTAGGTGGCACTTCTGGGCACAGGTGTGTGACATTGCAGAGTGGCACAGGGGCACAGGTGGGTGCACTGCTGGGCACAGGTGGGTGATCTGCTGGGCACAGGTGGGCGGAGCTAGTGGGCGCACTGCTGGGCACAGGTGGGCGGAACTTGCGGGTGGCACTGCTGGGCACCGATCATCAGGGCACTGATCATCAGTGCCCTGATGATCGGTGCCGATCCCCGCTCTGACAACTGCCGGTTCTCGGCAGTACTTTCCTCACGATCTGACAGCGTGAGGAAAGTGCAGCCGAGAACCGGCACTTGCATTTCCCTGTGATCAGCGTGTCATTGGACACCGCTGATCACGTGGTAAAAGGCCGCTGTGATTGGCCTTTTACCACATCACGTGATCAGCTGTGTCCGTAGGACACAGCAATCATGGAGATCGCCGGTGCGCGCCCCCTGGGGCGCGCAGGAAAGCGCGTTCTGGGGGGACGTCATATGACGTCCACTCAGAACTGGCCGGCCGCAGTGCAGCCGTCATTCGGCTATCTGCGGTTGGCAACAAGTTAAGGGTGGTAAATCCTCTGGAGGTCAAGTGGTTAAAATCACTGTAACTTAAAGTCACAGATCTGAAAGGGTGTCATTGAAAACAATGGGCTGTGACTTGTCATGTGACTTTATGTGTTTGCATGACAAGTCACAAAAGTGTGAATGGAGCCTAAGGCTGCAGGGTATGGGAAAGGGCCAATGGACTTCAGATGTCCATTATGGCAACCAACACTAGCACAAGGGACACTTCACATTAAAGTGGTATCAAACCCAAAAGCAAAAATATAATATATTGCAGTTTACCAATCTTTAAATGTAGTGGCTGTATTGTTTTTCTTTTGTAGGGGTTTTCCCCTGTTTTTACCTGGTGATCTGGCCAGTAACACACCTCCTGTATTAGTGAGACACCACTCTGGATGGAGGAGCACAGGGGGAGCCTTTGGACAGCAGCATTATAAGTCTGGGGGGAGGGGGGTGTTAGATGTACTAACCGATTTAGATACACTAACAAACTGAAGCCAAACGCCAGCTAATACTTTCTAAACAGTTACAGCAAATTGTTTTTCTTTTTTTGGGGGGGTATAAAGGTTTTACATGAATAAATAAAAGCTAAAAGCAGCAACAACACCATTAGCATTGCAGCCTTCGTAGAGTGGCTGCCTGAAGTAAATTTCTCACAAGGAAAAATGAACTTTCTACAGGGTATGACAGCACCACAGCAAACCATCACACATGTGCAACCATGGACATTTTCCAATAAGGCTAACGAGGCACTGACTCAGAGAGGTAAAAGTAAACTGAAATATATTACAGTGCCTTCTCTGCAACACTATCCTCACTTTGCATTTTATGTGGCTAGTATAAACTTACTTTAAAATGTTACTAACCCCACAACAGTAAAATCAGTCTGTATATGCAGTAAAGCATGCTTGTTTAACTCACGTGGAACCTAAGGGGTTAATTATCTGCATTGTGTAAAAAGGCTGTTTGATCCTGACTTCTCTGATCCTCCCCTTCTTCCATTCCATTGTGTATTGCTAGAGAGGTTTTTTTTTGGGGGGGGGAGAGTGCATGTGATCAGCACAGGGCCAATCAGTATTGTCCAGACAGAAGTCAGGGTCCTGCATCCTCCTAGAGCAAAATGAAATCTCATCCTACAAACTTTAACATGTGCTTGTATGGACACTGGTAGAAGTCACAAGACTGCTCTAACTGCTGATGAGAAAAGCTATTTAGCAGTTTATATTTACTAAAATAATCGCATTTTCATGTTCTGTGTACTGTGGAAGACCAGCTAGAGTGAATGCAGGGTCCTGGGCTTAGTAACACTTTAAGTTTAGTTTGTCTCTGTCCTATTCACTTGTTAAATGTGTTTACTATATTAGCTAAAATAAGTGTGCTCATAAATGTATCTGATTATAGTCCTCTAGCAGGGGATTTTATAATTACACTATTCAATAGTGAATATGTTTAAACCACATGAATGCCTCTGCTTGAAATGTGTTTTGTGCTTCATTTCAAAATCAAGTGCTAGACTTGTCATTAACAGACTTATGTTCATAGCATCATGCTTTGACATTATCAAATGAAACAAGCCGAATGCACATTTTGTATAAAATTAGAAAACTAAGTGGAAAGGAATGTACATATGAATCACAACAACGGAAGCAAAAAAGAGATGGATGAATTTAATTTTATTTTATTCAGATTTATTGGACTGGAATTTGATGCTGATATGGTTTAAATGAGTTTTGAAAAAAATTGAGGAAATAAAGTATTTGTATTGCCCTATTATTCTTTTATGAGTCTTAGGTACTAACATATTCCTTAGCACTTTACTATCTGAGGAATTCAAGAAATAAACATGCAGGGATTAACTTAATATGACAAATAAAAAATAGCAGAGCAATACTCATAATACTCACAAGAGTTTACAATATAAGCTTGCTGTAAGTATACAAGGAAAATGAACATTTTATATATATATAAAATATATATATATATTGTGGCAGTGCGGTATCCTGCCACGGTGGAAATCATGATGGAGACCCAGGATTCTCAACCATACAGGTGCTGATTGCACAGGTGTGTGCAGGCCTTTTTGTGGAGGCCAGGCCATGATTCTGAGCTCCACCCTGGCAGACGGAGTCAGGAGGGCTCCACCCCGGCAGACAGGAGGTCTCTGCTGTGGAGTCAGGTGGGCTTCACCTAGTAGAGGTGGGAGCCAGAATAGCTGTGTGCTAAAGGTTTGCTGTGTGCTAAAACAACCTTGTGGAAGGAGTCTGTAGGAGACAGATATAAAGCTGTGTAGCTGAAAGAGCCAGAAGGCTGAATTGGTTTGATGGTGGATACCCCTGTGTGGGAAGCATTTTGTGTTTCCTGAACTTTTTCCTTTAAATAAAATTGGGCAAAAAAAGGCCTGCACACACCTGTGCAATCAGCACGCTGGCTGCTCTCAAAACATGGGCCCAGGATTGGAGATTTCATCCCTCCCAAATCTCTTAGAAATCTCCAGGCTACAGGTCCCAAAACAGGCTTTACAAACCAAAGAGGAAACTTATAAACCAGTTTCCTCTGCATTATGAGAACTGCCTGGAGCCCCTCAACCTGTATGGTTGAGAATCCTGGGTCTCCATCATGATTTCCACCGTGGCAGGATACCGCACTGCCACAATATATATAAATATATATATACATATACACACAGACACACTTGCGCGCGCACACACACACACACGAGGGGCATTCGAGTCAAACCGGGACTTTTAATATTACAGGTATAAAAAGGGAAGCTATTGTGGTGGTACTACATGCAGTAGTAAGTCGCAAGTGTGTCTTATTACTGATAGGCGGCGCACATGTCGGGGCCAGTCCAGAGACTGTTAATCAATCATGTTAATGGCAGACAACAGTGTTAGTGCATGCATGGAACAGCATTGTTCTTTCATTACATAAACTCAAAAGTCCCTGTTGGACTTGAACTTCCCTTGTATTTATATATACACTGCATATATATTATCAGTAAAACAACACAGATCTCTCCCCTGTCAGCACAAACATTCTGCTTTGCATTGCTCTGCACAGCAGAACAATACAAAGCAGAATGTTTACATAGTAAAACACATACAGCACACTGTTAACCCTTTGATCGCCCCAGATGTTAACCCCTTCCTGCCCAGTGTCATTAGTACAGTGTCAGTACTTTTTATTAGCACTGATCACTGTATTAGTGTCACTGGGGATGTCAGTGGCAGTTAGTCAGTTCCAACCCAGTGTCAGAATGCCCACAGCAGTCTGGAAGTCCTGCAATAAGTTGCTGATTGCCGCCATTACTAGTAAAAAAAAATAAAAATAAAAATTCCGGTATGTTCCATTTGTAGACGCTATAACTTTCACGTAAACCAGTTAATTTACAGGTATTGGGAAGTTTTTTTAGCAAAGACATGTAGTAGAATGCATTTTGGCAAAAATTATGAAGACATTTTATTGTTAAAATTGTATTACTGGATATGTTTTATAGCATAAAAGTGAAAAAAAAAAATATTTTTTTTCAAAATTGCAGGACTTTTTTGTTTATAGAGCAAAAAATAAAAAGAACACAGAGGTGATTAAATATGAACAAAAGAAAGCTGTATTTGTGGGAAAAAATGACATAAATTTAAATTTATGTGCAGCATTGCATGACTGCGCAATTGTCAGTTAAAGTAACGCAGCGCCGTATCATAAAAAATGGCCTGGTCAGGAAGGGGCGTAAATCCTCTGGAGGGTAAGTAGTTAACAGGTTGCATGGAGAATAAACAAAACAAAACAGAAAATAAATCCTTGTCATCCAGGCACTAACTAAACAGCAGATATTTCTATCTCACCGGTGAATAGCTTCTCTCAGTCACCAACAAAACAAAACATTATGCAAGCCTTTTCCTTTCTTGTAAAGAGCAAACTTTCACATCCACAGCTCTCTCTCAGGTATGGCTTCCTGAGTCCCAGGCCAAGAGCAACCTCTTGCTCCAGTTCAGCTTTATTTACAGTTGCAAGAAAAAGTATGTGAACCCCTTGGGATTACGTGGAATTTTGCATGAATTGGGCATAAAATGTGCTCTGAACGTCATCTAAGTCACAACAATAGAAGAACACAGTCTGCTGAACATAATACTACACAAACATTAGATGTTGCCATGGTTTAATTGCACATAACATGTAAACATTCACAGTGCAGGGAGGAAAAAGTATGTGAGGCCCTAGCTTAATGACTTCTCCCAGAGCTAATTGGAGCCAGGAGTGAGCCAACCTTGACTCCAATCAGTGTGATGATATTGGATGTGTTGCTGACAGCTGTCCTGCCCTTAGAAAACACACACCTGTTTTGGGTTTACTGTTTCAAGAAGCACTGTCTGATGTGAACCATGCCTCACAGAAAAGAGCTCTCAGAAGACCTACGATCAAGAATTGTTGACTTGCATGAAGCTGGAAAGGGTTACAAAAGTATCTCCAAAAGCCTTGATGTTCATGTGTCCACGGTAAGACAGACTGTCTACAAATGGAGAAGGTTTAGCACTGTTGCTACTCTCCCTAGGCATGGTCGTCCTGTAAAAATGACTGCAAGAGCACAGCGCAGAATGCTGCATGAGGTAAAGAAGAATCCCAGAGTGTCAGCTAAAGACTTACAGAAATCTCTGGGACATGCTAACATTTTTGTTGACACATCTACAATAAGGAAAACATTAAACAAGAATGGAGTACATGGGAGGACACCACGGAGGAAGCCATTGCTGT